GCCTCAGTTAGGGTCCACGCTTCTACTCCATACAGCAGGACAGGAAAGATGTAGCAAGATATCATAAGAACTCTAAGGTCAATGCTAAGATCGTGACTGCAAAGTACGTTTCTCATTTTTACAAAGGCAGCTCGAACTTGTTCTATTCGGCTTTTAATTTCTGCGGTTGGATCCCAGCTCTCATTGATATTACTGCCGAGATACACGAGTTTCTCTACTCTGTCCAGTGTGGCATCTTCGACTTTTATACCGTCATCATGTGTATAATTTTGTTTGCTAACTATCATATATTTAGTTTTCTTAACGTTGAGTTTTAATCCATACTGATCACAAGTCTGTTTTATTTTGTTCATTAGATTTTGAAGGTCTTCTCTGCAATTGGCAAGGACTAAGGTATCGTCGGCATATCTAATATTGTTGACGGTTACTCCATTCACAATAATACCTTCGGTTGTCTCCATTAAGGCTTCCTTAAATATTTCCTCCGAATATAAGTTAAAAAGTAAAGGCGACAATATACAGCCTTGTCTCACACCTCTTTTTATATTTATTTCATCCGACAGTTCTTGTTCAACCTTTATTCTTGCCACTTGATGCCAGTATAGATTTGTAATTATTCGTAGATCTTTATCGTCCAATCCAGCTGTTTCCAATATTTCTAGCATTTTGTTATGTCGGACTTTGTCAAAAGCTTTTTCAAAATCGATTGCACAAATATACACATTTTTTTCTCCATAGCTAGACAGTGTAATTCCAGGTATTTTATTTCCGTTACTTGTTCAATACTGATGCTATCAATTTCTATTTTACATCTGGTTGGTTCTTTGCTAAGACTACTATTGTTTAAGTTTTCTGATATAAGATTCTCATATTAAATTGTTTTGCTCTTATGTTAAATCTGGGACAGTTTTTGCAGACTATTTTCACCTTGGGCTATTAATATTGCGTCGTCTGAGTAACAGAGTATTTTTATTTTTTTTGTTTCCATTCTGTATCCTCTTCCTTTGTTAACGCTTTTGATGATTTCATCCATGATTAAATTGAAGAGCATGGGCTCAATTACAATAGTTCGCTTGTTCTCCATTCTTCCATTAATTTTAATAATTAACGTTAATTGTAATTCGTTTGGTATCCTAATCCTGTCTTTACCTGCTGCTTTTTCTGTTCTTCAGCTTTTCAAGTATTTTACGAACTTCCTATATATTTTTATTAAGTTCTTCATTTGTGGTAATTTCTGGTGTTTCCGGTTATAGCGTCGTTTGTTCTTCCTCTGCATAAAGATTTTTTAGGTAGTCAATCCACGTACAAAACTATGTGTTTTTGAATGAAAGTGTCCGTTCAGATAAAGAAGAAACTAATTCTCAAGATCTAGAGGATGATTTGTAGCAAGAGCCAAACAACGACCAAGAAGTTACAAAAGATGAAGTAAATCAAATGAATAAAGAAACAACTATTGAAGTGTTTTTTTAAACACCATGAGTTTACTGAGAAAGAGCATATAAAATGGATGAAGGATGTGCATTTCGAAACCAGAAAGGTAACATGTTATGATCCCATTTCAGAGCAAGTTGTTGATCTACCAGCACCACTTGATTTTTTCAATAAGTATATATCTGATTATATCTTCTCAATAATGGCTGAATTGACAAATCATCATTTCGTGCACAAGCTTATAGCAAGATTTTCTCCAACAGTTCCTTATGAAATAAAAAAAAATTATAGGAATACACGTAATAATGGGAAATGTACAATATTCTCGAGTTAGAATGTATTGGTCCTTACATGTTGGAATTCCACTGGTAAAAGATAACATGCCATATAATAGATTTTCCAAACTTAGGCAAAATATTCATCTCATGGATATAAAAAACCGACCAGAAAATAATAGATAGACTGTGGAAGGTACATTCCCTGTACAATAGTATTAGAAAAAGATGCCTAGAACTGCCTCTAGAAAGAAATTTATGTGTGGACGAACAAATAGTACCATTCAAGGGTAACATAAATATAAAACAATACATCAAGAATAAGCCCAAAAAATGGGAATCAAGATTTATGTTTTAGCTGGCCAAAGTGGTCTTATATATTATGACTTTATAGTATATGAAGGGTCCACTACAGAATTGAAGCCCATATATACCCCTTTTTGGTGCATCATCAGGCGTTGTAATGCATTTATCTGACAGAATTGCAGAAAAAGGTAATTTCTTGTAGCTCATCTCTTTCAGTATTTCAACTCAAAATCTATATATTCGGTGGGTACCATAAGCATAAATCGTTTTTTTTTTAACCACTGCTTCCTAGTGATAAAATCTTGAAACAACAAGGCCGAGGAACTAGTGCTGTTTCTGTTAGCAGGCTTATAAATATTAGTGCGAGTAAGGGAAGTAATAGATCATTTTCAAATAATTGGTACAGCATGTACTCATGGCTTACCGGGAGTGCAATATAAAACAAACTTTTCTGTTGGACTTGCTTTTTATTTTCGACAAATAAGGCAAACATCAAAATCCGTGGTGTGAATATGGTTACGATAATTTAAAGGAATTATTTAGGGTTAAAAACACGATATTTCGAAAGATCATACTTACAGCCAGAATTATAATGCCCAACATGAAAATGCTATTAAACATAACGAAATTGTAAAAAATAATCACGCAGTTTTACGTCGTTTAATTGATATTGTAATTTTTTTAAATTGTCAGGAATTATCTTTTAGGGGACACGATGAATCGGAGCATTCGTTAAATGAAGGTAATTATAGAGAACTAATAAAAATGGTTAAGAAATACGATTTGGAATTTTCTGATTCGAAGACATTTAGCCGTGTACAAAACAATTCAAAATGAATTAATAGAATCAATTAGTTACATTTTGAGTAACGTTATTGAATCTGAGATTCAGGAAACCATTTGCTTTTCACTAGAAGTAGATGAAACTACCGACATATCATGTCATTCACAATTATCAATTGTTGTTCGATACGCGTTACGTGGTAATATCTATGAGAGGTTTTTAGGTTTTACAGACGTGAGTAAAAGCCATAAGGCAGAATATATTTTTGGTGTTTTAAAGGACAGATTAAAATTTTTTGATATCAAAAATAAATTGGTAGGGCAAACTTATGACGGCGCTGCCGTGATGTCTGGTGAATTAAATGGTCTCCAGGCAAAAGTTAAAACATCCGTGAAGCAATCGGTTTGAAAACTTGATTAAATGATTACTCTTTTAACATACTTTTAAATATTTTTAAGAAAATGTTTACCCAAACTGATTTGATATTCAATGTTGTTCAAAATCAGTTAACTTTCATTCCAAAAATAGAATAACAAGACTGGTGCAAAATCGAGATTTTCGTAATGATAGTAATTTCCAGTATATACGCAGTGACGTTTTGGACTCGCTTGATATTTCCGAACCCCAAAAAAAAAAAAAAAAAGACAAAGGCATGCCACAGAAACAGATCTCGAAAAACGAGTATATTTTGAAATTTTGGATACTATTATTATGCAAATAGATACTCGTTTTTCGAATTTTGAAGATTTGTAATTTTTTGATCTCTTTGACGATTCAAAATTTAAAAGTTACGCCAAAGAATTTGGAAGATATTTATTAGAAAGGTTAATTAAAAATTATCCATCATCTCTTTAATAAAATAAAATTAGAAAATGAATTAAAAGTTTTATATGCTGATCCAAATATTTTCGGAAGATGGGATAAGTTACAAGATATGTATAATTTTATATATGCAATTTATTACAACAAACTGTTACCGAAATTAATAAATTATTGTCATTAATTTTCTCATGGCCACCAACCTCTGTCTCAAATGAACGAGATTTCTCTTGCCTTAAAAGAATCAAAACGTATTGTCGAAATACCATGAAAAAAGAGAGAATGTCAATCAACTTGTCTCAAATGTCAATAGAAAAAAAACTTTTAAAATCTCTCCAAAACTCTAATAAATTTTACGATGACGTTATTACCCATTTTGCTACTTCCAAACAACGTAGACTAGAGTTAATTTATAAACATGTTTAGGTTCTAAATTTATGGGAAAAAACAAAAAACAAGAAATCTCCTACGATGATTGAAGTCTTTACTATACGGTATACCTATCTGAGGAGACAAAAAATACCTTACCGACCTTGTCTCTCAAGCCACGAGCCGCCACTGATGGTATAGTGATAACGAAATTGTTTGATAACAAACTGGTGACTGTAGCATCAAATTATATAGGTATAGGGACACAAAATTACTGTAAAAGATGGGATAAATCAACTAAACAATATATTGAAATTACAAGACTATGAGGCTTATATACAGCACTACAACTCATATGAGAGTAGACAAAGTTGACTTTTTGCTAAGTATTTATCGCTCCCCTGTAAGATCACGAAAGTGGACAATAAGAATGATTTCCCATGCCATAGATTTAGCACTGGTAAATTCATGGCTGGAATATAGATCTAAAGCCGAAGCCCTCCATGTTCCAAAGAAAGATATTTTGGATCTTATGGGATTCAGTCAGTAGCTGAGTATTTACTTCTTCACAAAGATCCACCTAAGAGAGGTAGACCTTCAGCGGAACAACCTACTCCACAATCGTTGAAAAGGAAGCTCCCCGAAAAACGACCTTTGAATTTATTTTGCCGATTTTTCTAATAGGCTCTTAAGTAATTTTCTAAACAACTATTCTTTTTCTGTATTTTGTTAGATGATAATAATAAATTTACTTCTAGTATTAGAATAAATTAAATACTAATTAGTTGATTTTGTTTTTTTTTTTTTGTAACATCCTTAAAGGCAACATGTACCCTATGAGGTACAAGTCGTAACAAAAATCCGGATGGAGGGGCAGTATTTTTTTGTTACGTATTGTCGTATTGTTTTAGTTGCCACTCTCAAGCATACCTACCAAATTTTATAATTTTTACATAAATGGTTATCATATAAAATAAAACAAATTTCATTTTATAAAAACTTATTTATTTACAAAATTAACTTGTTTTATGTTTTCTCTTTTTATTGTGACTTTCTATTACTCCGTTTACTGTCGCAGCTCCAGATTCTGTGTTTTCTGAATTCTTTCTTTTCTTCTTTGATTTTTTTGTGGTATTTTCATCGTTAAATTCCTTACCTTCTACCGATCCTTCAGAGCTCTTCCTCTTTTTCTGTTTTTTACTTTTATCGCTGCTGTCTTCTGATTCTTCGTTGGTTTCCATCGTAACCTCATCATTGGCAACTGCAAAGTCTAAACTTTTGAATCCTTCAGATAAACTCTGCAGTCTTAATTCTTTAGCTTCTTTCTTTAACTTTAACTTCTCTTTATTCTTTGTTTTCTTGTTTTTCTTCTTTTCTTTAGTTCCTTTGGTTGCTTTTTCGTCATTAGTTTTAGAAGAAGTTACTACAGGGTTGTGTTTAACTACATTAGAAACGTTTAGGCACGCACATAGTTTGTTGAAGGCGGTTTTGGCATCCTTGGATAACGTAACTGTGCCCATAAATTCTCGAACTGATTCTGCTATTTCTGACCATTTCATGCAATCTATATTTAGAACGCTCGTTTTCATGGCAACTAATAATTTATACATATTACCCAAAAATTTTTCAGATGGGACTTTACGTTCAGTTTCACACAAAGATTTGAACAGAGTTATGGCATTATTTGAGAATTCCTCATGACTTTCGGTTAAAGCTTCCCTAATTTTCTCTGTGTTTGATCTTAAATATCTTTGATTTGTGTAAAATGAAAGGACCAATTCTAAGCCTTGAGACTTTTTGAAAACTTTAACGTTCGCGTCAAAGAGGTACTTTAAAATTATAGTTACTAAAGTAAGATTACCATCCCAGGAAATTTTTAAGAGGTTCTTAAAAACCAAAAATGGCGTTGCACATTCTCTTTTGTTGAAGTATGTATCCAATTCATTGCTTATTAATTCCACTATAGAGTTTTTAAGGCGCTTTTTCACTTTTTTTGGTGTAGCTTCGGCATTCGAGAGTAAATCTGAACATTTGATTGTAAAAATACAACAGTGTGAAATCTGTTCTCTCATATCCTGTACGATCCATGTATTTTTTGTTCCTTTATCAAGCAAACTCTTCAGTAGATCACACAGTACTGCGTCATCTACACCATCAGTGTTTTCAAATTTCTTCAAATTTGATAACTTCTTCAAACATGATTTAAGTCGATGTAATAGAGGACTTTGGTGTTCATCTCTGACGCTGAATTCCACAGTTTTTAACAAAGGGAGCATAATTTCTAAAGTAAGGATCATTGAAGGGTTTGAATCTAAATATATCTCGATCAAATCTAAAACTCTAACTCTGAAATGGGTTAACGTTCTCTGATCTTCATTCTGTTTTTTGCCCTTTCCTCGATTCGGTCTAAACTGTTTAAAAGCATCAGCTAATGCTTTATCCAATTTTTCTCCTTCAGTGTCGCTCATTTGATCGATATCTATACTTTCTTCATCACTTTGATACCCGTTAGATGTTAAAACTTTGTGCAGAGCCATTCTTAACTTGTCGTTTGCGGTCTCATCTTCCATATCATCATCATCATCATCATCGTCGTCATCTTCTTCGTTGTTGGAATCGTCAGACTCATCTTCCTTTTCCGATTCTGATTCTTCATCAGAATCTTCTTCATCTCTCTCAGTGTTTTTTTTTGGATAAAGGATTTTCGTTTTCTGGATCTAACACTGATACCAATTGTTGGATCGTAGATGTTGTCATATATTCGCATAGATATGGAAAGACCAAGTTAACAATGTTTCTAAGTAAGTGAGAATTTTGCGATAAAAAGTTCAAAAATAGATCTGTTACTACTTCAATCCACATAACATCTTCGACAGCTGCATCTTCAGTAGTTGTTTCATCCATTGCTTCACTGTTTTTCCTAGATTTTCTAGTCTTTTCATAGCAAACAAATAATTCATTCAAAGAATCTACAGCTAGTTTAGCATCATTAAATAAAAGTAACGCTAAGTGTAGAAATAGCGTTAAGAAGACGGATCTCAACCCTCCTTTTTTCTTCTTTTTCTCGATCTTGGTTATTATTGAAATAGTTTTTTCCCAGATCTCGTATTGCTCTATTGTTATTGTCGAACGAAGGGCTGTTTCTAAGTTTTCAGGTGTCAGTTTGGAATTTAGATGAAGTACCACACTTAACAAAATAGTATGTAATTGTTCTAGTTTTGCAAGCTTCAAATCTAATGCTCCGAAGAAGGCAGTCTTCAAGGAAGCTGTAAGGCAGAAAGATAAATCTCAGTAAAAGCATGTCAAAAATAATTATTTGTCTAAATTGAAGAGACACAGACGATAAAACTAATAAAACAAGAGTAATGTAGATAAGAACTATTAAATCTTACTTATACTGGAACACATAGAGGAAAATAGTTCAGGATGGGATGAGATGGATATGAATACATCACAAAAGGAAGATCATAAATAAAAGATATACTTTACCTGATAGTTCACTTCCAATATGAACTTTTGTATCCTTCAGCAATCCCAATTCCATTAGAAATATCAACTGTTCTGTTTTCCAGTCATTTTCATCTCTTACTGCTTTATGATTTAACAGTTTTATCAGTAAATGGGCGGCATACAGTTTGTCATTATTTAACCAATAGTCTCCATGACCATATTGGCTGTCCACAATTTCACTACCTTCGATCACACCTGCAAGATATTTATACTGTTAAAATGTGACTAAAATATGGGTTCATCAATTAACATTTTCATGGAATGAAACTAAATACTATTAGAAACTCATCTAGAAAAAGCGATAATGAATTAGGATTGTTACATAACAAATGTTAAAAATGAAAATGGAGAATGGATGATAAACTTCTGCATGAATAATGAACTTAGAATAAATGACACATTTTTTGACCACAAAGACCAACACAAATATACATTCAATAACACCCATGGACAAAGATCTATTGTAGATTATGTTATAACGAACAGATATATACATCCCTTGAAAATAATCGACATAAAATGCATCAACTCAGCAGATGTATGTAGCGACCATACAGTCCATGAAATGTTATACATAAAAAGAATATCAGAAAATATTGCTGGGAATAAAATATTAGTTTTTGTGACCACAAACAGCAGAGGAATTCATCTTACAAGTCAACTCACTACAGAACAGATTACCATTAGAAAAATTATATCCCATATTCCATGAATTTCTGAAGGTGGGTCCTAATTGCTATTTATTTTGCAACCCAGGTAAGTTATATTGGCGGCAAGTCTTTCATTGTATTTAAATTCATGTAAATCAATTTGTGTACAAATAAACATTATTTATTGGCAATAGTGATCACAAACAAATAATACTTATAAATGCTGTAAACTTATTTGAATGTTTATAAACCATGAAATTTTTAGTAATAAAAAGATTGTAACTTACCCCTGTACACTGCGACAAGTTTTTTAACTCCATCATCATTCAGACTCCAAGTGATGTTCTGCACAATCTTCGAATGTGTTATTTTCTCAAAGATAAAAGTACCAGGTGAAAAAAGCAGTTTTTTCAAAACAGCAATTTTAATTTTCGAATTCACATCTTCTGGTTTAAGTTTTTCTAACAATTGCTCAAAAAATTTGTTAATGCTTTGTTTAAATTCTACGTCTTGATCTTTGCCTTTCAGAGTTTTGAAATGATTAAGCATTTGGTGCATAAAGTGTTTTGTTAAAATATTTGGAACAACAGATACATCTTCAAGTTTTTCCAACAATATAGTGTATATTTTTGTTATGACAAGAAGTTTATTCCTGCTTGGTATGTCTAAGTATCCATCTAGTTCTTCTATAAAATAAGTTAGGTTACTTGATGTTGCTGCTTCACTGCTTATAATATCATAAACAGGATGTTGGAGGGAAGATAATTTGGGAATAATCTGAAAAGTAGATTAAATATATTAAGATATAGTTGCTCTTACCAATACTTTCATTTCAATCCAATATAACAATCTTATGAAATGACTTAGTTGCTGATACTTAGATTAGGATATGGATGAAAAATTTGAAACCACGATTATAAATTTGCTACAGAATAAAAATGCTCTGAAATTTTCCTTTGGCATTGAGAGGGAGATATAGTAATAATAAATCATTGTCAAATGGCCATTACTTAGGTATACCTGTTTATAGACACATAATTTCTATTAATTTGTTATGGCATGCAATAACTTTAGCACCATAGGAGTGGCCAGTTTTTTTTAGTCCAGTTCCAATGCTTAAAACGACACATAAACAATATTATCATCATCATCACTGTCTTTACAACCCATAGAGGGTCTTGGTGTATTCTAGGATCAGCTTCCATTCCTTCCTATCTTTGCCTTGATTTTCCAATTCCATACTAGTAACACTAGTAAGAAGTCTACCACCTGGTACTTACATCAACCTTACATCAACCTCTAGGTCTGCCTTTTCTCCTCACTCAATCCGATGTTTGGTTATAAATGTGTTTTGATGGCTCCATCTTGTTCATTCTTTCTAAGGGTCCTAGCCACTGCAGCCTGTTTATTTATGATAGACCTATGAATACTTGGTTCACTATAAAGGCGGTAAAGCTAAAAATTATAGCATTTATGCCGTAATCCGTTTTCCTGCATGCCTTCATAAATATGTCAGGATTTTACATTAAAAAAAGCCTAAACATTCTTCATCGCTTTTTGTTGTCAACCATGTTTCTCATATGTAAGTAAGGACAGTTTGATAAGAGTTCTGTATCTCTTAATTTCGGCAGCTACTCTATTACTCTGGTCGATTTGTGAGCCTAGATATATGAACTCTCTTACCTCTTACTCCTTCAAAAGTATTAATTCCATAGTTTAGATCTTCAGGTTTTGTTACTTGCTTATTATTTTTGTCCCCTTCATATACTTAGTTTTACTTGTATTGTAGGCCTATTTTTTTTGCTGATGCTTTCAATGTCATTAAAGATTGGACCAGGTCCACCTTTCTTTATGCTATGATAGCGATATCATCTGCACATGCTAGTATTTGTACACTCCAATTAATAATTCCTCTTGTCATTCCAGATTATCTAATAGCTTTCTCAAGGCAATGTTGAATAGAAGGCACTATAGGCTATCTCCCTGTCGAAGTCCTATTTTTGTCTGGAAAATTCTTGATACTCTGTTCTGTACTCTAACCTACACCTGATTGTTAAGAGGGTTGATTTCACCAATTTCACTAAGTGTGTTGAATTGAATTCTACCATTGCTTTGTATAGTGTGTTTCTGTCATTTGTAACAGGACACTAATAAATGGTAGTATCAATTCCATACTCATATGATTTTTTCCAAAGGTTGTCTTAAAAAAGAATATTTTATGGATAATAGATTTTTCAATTATTATTTATAACTGGGAATAAGCCACAATTAAAGATAAAAATACGTTTATTGACGTTTCAATTTCCAATTCGGAAATAGTTCTCAAAATACAAACAGTAAATAATGATAATTTATCCCTCCAGATACTGACAGAGAATGTAGCGTAGAATCTTTAAGTAATTTTAAACTGTTTGTCCTCGTTTTAGTGTAGTGTTTTGTACAATTTTATGTCACTTTTAATGTTTCCACGTTCTACGCTTGCCGGATAGTTTACATTTTGACGAAATGCCCCTGAAGATGCTATTTTAAGCGAAAGTACTTGGGCTAGATTTAATTAACTTATGCTCGATAATAGCCTTATTTTCAAAGTTTATTCTATAGATATTTTTGATTTTATTCCACATATCATCCACACTTATGTTTTCTTGATTAATATCTGAGATTACCATGCTGTTTATTTTGTTGTTGATCTCATCTTTGACTTTGTCTCTTGTGGTTTAATCTTTCAACTTCTGGATGCACGGATGTTTTTGTGCTTTTCTTTTATGGACTTTTTTCATGTGGAGTTTGAAATTTCCTAGTAAAAGATTATGGTCTGATGGAACATCTACTCCCAGATACGTTTTTGCGGATTTTACGGAATTCTGAAATCGTTTGTTGATGATGTAGTCAATCTGGTTTCTAATCATTTTTTTTACAGTCAGCTGGAGACTTCCAAGTGTAGAGTCTTCAAGGTGGTGATTGGAAAAAGGTGTTCATTATTGCATTATCCGTTTCCTGGCAGAACTGAACTGAAAACCCACACTGGTATTTGTCTATTATGTTTTCACAATATCCTGTGAGTCAATTGTAAAGAATGTTGCCAATATTTTGAAGGTCACATTTAGGATAGTAGTAATTCCTCTGTAGCTATCACAAATTGTTTGGTCTTTTTCTTGTGATTAGCTACAATTATACCGATGTTCCAGTCTTGGATTCTTGTGGTAGTTTTACCTGCTTTCAAATCAGTTCTACTAGTCTACTTATACAATGGGTCAGATCTTTTGTGCCATATTTTAAAAGCTCAGATGGAATACCATCTGCTCCAGGAGCAGATGGTATTTTCGAATTTCCATTCCTTCCCTAATCTGTTATTATCTAATCAGCATAGCAAAAAGTTTTGGATTAGGTATGTTGGAATCACATAAAATAAGAGATAAAGGAATCAACAGGAGTGTTTTGTGAACCAAACAAACAACCCAAAAAACTAATACATAAAAATCCCACCAAAAATTAGATTAGAAAACTAAAATCTTAAAAATAAAAAACTCACCATTAAAATTCTGCACAATTTTCCTATATTTTCTTCAGCTAAAACTTCAGGATACACTATAACAGATTTCAATTTTTTTGGTAGTTGTGGATATTTTTTCTTCATGTTATATAGTAAATATAACGAGTCCAAATTATAATTTTCCAGTGGTTTTGACACTTCATCTTTAAACAATGGACACAAAGCATAAAAATCTTTGTCTTCAACCTAAAATATAGAAAAATAGTAACAATAATAAGTAATTATATATTTAGTCTTCTACACTACCAGTGGATGGTAAAGTAGTACTTACTTTTTCAAATATGTTTATGATAAACTCAAATGCTAGTAACCCTTGGTAAGTACGTTCTTTGCTAGCAATTAAGATACATTCAACAATTTTCAACTTTTCTTTATCAGTTGTTTTAGACCAAAGATTTGATCTGATGATAGCTCCACATGCTAATATTTGACCAGTCAAAATATCTGCATTTTCCTTTAACAGATAAAATATTGTGTTAGAATGAAATTTTGCCAAGTACAAATTTGTGACTTAGATATATATTTAATAGAATAGCTAATCATTTTTGTACCTCAGAGGTAAATGATTGTGACTCCATTTTGGTAACTTTGTGAAAAAGAAGGTTAAGGCTGTATAATATGGGACAAACAATATTATTGGTGAACATTTAACAAACCGACATACCTGTAACCACCTAATATGTAGATTTAGTTCAGTTTTACCAAAAATATTATGCTTTCATATATTACAAATTTTCACTTTTTTTTCACTAAAATTACAATAATGCAGATACAATCCTTTACCTCTAATGGGTATGTAGGAATGGCCTCATGAAGTCAAATTAAATTGCAGCAAATGTTTTAAAAACTATATAAAATGATTTTATAGCCAATATAAATTTGTTTAATTTACCGATCTTGCGTTACTCCCTGCTTTATGTAAATGTTTGTCCATAAGGTCAAAAATTTGTGATACAGATATATCATTTCTAAAATTTAGCAAAGCGACTAAAATAGTGTAAAATCCTGTTCTGGGCATATTAGTGGACGATCCCAAACCTCGTATAATCCTTGTCAATGCATGATTTACTTCAATATCCTAAAATAAAAACAATTAACAGGAGTACTTGGAAAAGTCCATAACCTTACTTTTTCCTGGACAGTATAAAAATGTTTTAGTATATTTAAACTACCCTTTATTCGATTTTTTTCATTGGCACTAATTAAATGTGCAAAGTGGTCAAATACTGTTCTATTAAATTTTCTACTTTGATTTTCACCATTTGTTTCTTCCATGTTTCTATTTACATGTGAGGTTCATAAAAATTTAAGGTTATGAACATGAAAATGCTGGAATTTAAAAAGATGGTTTGTGGTTGTGGTTGTTGACAATTAAAATAATCTGTGCTTCGGTAAATATGACAGCTGCAGTGTTGCTATTTTTTTTTTATAGTATTCTATTAAAATATTTATTATAAACTATTTTCACCTTTGAGAAAATTCAATTATAATAATTTAATGACTGTCAACATATGGCAACTAATGTACAAAGGTGCGGTGGCCATAACTCAGTGGCTAGGTATTAGCTTACAAAGCCGGACGGTCGGGTTCGATCCCAGCGCAAACACCAGAAATTTTTAAATTTCTAATTTTAACTAACACCCACCGTGCTTCGGAAGGCATGTAAAGCGGTCGGTCCCGATTACGTAAATAAACAGCCCTACAATCCCTACTAGTTCTAATACCTGAGCCACCCGGAGCCAAAGAATATATAACAATTGTTTATTATTATCTGCCTGAGCTCAGAGGTTATACGCATGAAATATATACAATAAAGCCAAACGATTGCAGTCCGACGGCTACAGCAACCAACGGCTTCCGAAAAAAAAAAAAAAAATGCAAAAGTGTACTGATCTTGTTTCATACAAGTAAAGCAGTCAGCTTTTTAAATTTTGAGAACAACTCTGGACTCATTCAAGTATGATAATCAGTAATCAGAACAATATGAAAAATATTAAGCGTTCAAACTGTCAAGCAGTGTACGCGAATAAAAAAATTAATTTAAATACATTTCATTAAATAGACCTTAAAATTCATAACAATTTTGATCAAGTTTGTTTTGTTATAAATTCAAGTGGCAATTCATGGTTGACAATAGGAATCAATTATAATTACATAAAATAACTTCGAAAAATTTATTGTAATTAGTAATATAAAAAAATTCAAAACTAAATACTAACAAAAAATGACATGAATCCCCTTGCTGTCCTTTTGTGTCTAAAAACGCAGCGCGCATGTCTATTTAGATGAAACATGGCCGGTCGTAGCGGTTATGATGATAGAGACAACAGGTAAAAAATAAAATTATAACTAAACTAGTGAACAATTTTTCTGTGTTTAACAGTGTTTTTAAAGAAGAAGGTGCATAAAATGTTGGGAGCTGAAAATAATGTGAAAGCAAAGTGATAATAGTGATTTTTACTTGGAAGCGGCAATGCTGTATTCTGATGCACATGCTTAATTTTCTTTTAAGAAAAAAATACCAGTATCCTTATTATTACACATTGTATGATTTAATATTTGGCGTGAGTTGGCCAAGTTGTGCGAAATTGGTCCTAAATTGAAACTAGTAATATATTAACTTCCTTGTTTATTACTGCATTAAAGCCTATCCCATTCAAGTATTATGCTACAAAGTCATGCACTAATCAAACACCTAGTTTATTTATTGTAATTTGTTTATTGATATAAATAGAACCTTCTTGGTAATTAGTAAAAATTTAATAAACATTGTAAACAATCACTTCCGAGAGGTTACCAAAGAATTTGAAAATTAATGTATGTTATAAATATTTGTGAATGTTAAGGGTTAAATATTAGTTGTTCGCAGAAAACATTTTGGTATTGGTAGTTTAACCTATAATATAAATACCAAAGACTAAAATTTTGCCAAGGACATTTAACATAAACAAAGTAAGGTTTTATCTCACTATTAGATAATATTAAGTTACATACCAACACTGTTATTTTAAAAACAGTTGATTTGTTTTAGTTACAAGTTATATAATTTATTCATTGTTGACCTGTGTAACATTTGATCAAGTGTACTTACTACATTAAAAGTGAAATACATTCAAAACTCAATAACTTAGGATTGCTAATTTTACAAAAAAAATAAGGTTAATACTGTTTTCTCCTTACAGAAGAACTATGTAAGCAAGGCATCTCAAATGTTAAAAAAAATGGAGGTTAATACCTTTACCAATTGTATAGGCATACCTTGTATACAGATGGTTTATCATCACAGTATAGGCACCTAACATTGTCAAGAGCCATAAATTAGTATCTATACCATTTTATAGTTCCTGGTCACTCCCATGTTTGCTAAATTAGGTTTCATTCCATAATTATTTATTCTCCTGTTATATTTCATAATTTTTGTCTCTCATTTTCTGATTATAATAGGCCTCATAGATCTTATTCCTTTTAATTCAATTACCAATTTTAAGAATTATCTAGACTTAGTTACTTCATTCACAGCATAAACACATTAAAATTTAAAATATTTTTCCAATATTTTTTACTTTAAGATTTAATCAAATTTTACTATGTAAAGAATAAAATATTACCATTATAAATAATGTATCTATTTTACAGAGATTATGGTGGTGGAGGCCGACGAGGAGGTGGCAATACAGGAGGAGGCAGAAAACCTCTTCCTACTGAACCTCCTTTTACAGCTTACATAGGAAACATTCCTAGTGGAGTTATCCAAGGAGACATTAATGTTGTATTTAAAAGTTTGAATGTCAAGAATATAAGACTTGTCAAAGATAAAGAAACTGATAGGTTTAAAGGCTTTGGATATGTGGAATTTGAGACCTTACATGACCTAGAACAAGCCATTACCATGAATGTAGAGATTGATGGTAATATACTCAAAATCGATGTTGCTGATGGTAAGTCCATACTATTCTTATGTTTATATATTGTATCGTAAAAGCTAACATTATTCAAGATAGTGCAAACACTCCTGACCACAGCACAGTAGACGAAATTTGCTTTAGTCCCCACTTCTGTGCGAAACTCACTGTACTATTCAAGTGAATGGCAGAACGTTTGTTTGGTTAACATAATTCCACTTACAATAGAATCTTTCTGCCTTTATATGAATTTTGACTCTGCCTTCACGCAGCTTCATGGTCAGAAGTGTTTGCACTATCTCTAATAATGCAAAAGACCAAATATTCCAATCAGGGTCAATATAAAAATAGCTTATGTTGGTTGTTCTGAGTCATAACTTGGATTTTTGCAATATTCTACAGTTGAAAAAATTGCAAATCATCAAGAAAAAATTTAGGAAGAAAAAGTTTTGTTATAGAACCTATTTTTTATTCATTTATACTTCATTTATTAGAAAAATCATACAAGTCAAATTTTAATTACACTCAAATTGTTTGTAATGAAATTTTCTATCAAAATATGTTACGGGGGCAGGGTATTTTTTTATTCAATTGTAAATTCTTCAAGAGTACCCAGTTAAAACTTCAGAGCTATTGGAGCAAAATTGATGGAGATATGGACATTTAGGAGTAAGTGAGGTGAAAAAAATGTGATAATAATATTGCAATCCAGTTCTGTCTGGAAAATTTAAAATAATTCAAAATTAATTTTTTTCACATATTTTTTTGTTGACACAACTTTTTAAAATCTGAAATAATAAAACTGTTTAATTAGAAAGGCCTGGAAAATGTTCTACAGGTGATATAATAGTTATATTTTTTCTTTATTAAATAAAATAAATCTTTCTATTATTATTAATACCAGAGAACTACGAACGCAGAGAAGCAACACTCCTTTGATCTTGCGTGGACAAGCCGCCAACGAGTGAAAATGACAGGAAAGCACCTTATTTTTTAATAATCAGTGGGCATATTACATAATATAAATTCTTAAATAAAATTGAGCATTTATGTTGACTTTCAATAAATATGAAATATTGCACTGAAAAAATAATTACATGCAGGGCCGGCTTTTGTTGACATTCTAAATGGTGTAATTATTTTTGATTTACAAAATGTTGCAAATACATCGCACAAGGCAAAGTAATGGTGAAAATCGTATTGATGGAACCATAGATGAAAATACTTTTTTGTTTATTCTGATGTTTACATTGATAATACAATAATACACCAATTCTTTTTGGCTTGTGTTGATACAAGATATAATTTGTTCGTCGTGGAATTTCCTAATAAATTATCTTTCGTAATATAATAGAAAAATAACAAAGCCATTCGTCTGTGTCTTTCTAATACCTCGTAACCCCAAAATCGCGATTGTTCAGGAGACAAGAAAAACCGTTTTTAATTTTTGTGGAATGGTTGACGATTGATTTTTTTACATTTTCATTTGTTTTTAAAATTACCTTACATATCTTAAAAAAGAATTTTACTAATTTTTTAGTTTTTAGCCTTTTAATGTGGGTTACGAGTAAATCGTTTTCACGATGTTTTAAAAAATGTGGCTTACAAGGTATTTTCCTACATTGGTTCTATTACAATTTCCTATAATTAGATTACGTTTAGCCATCCTATTTTACGGAATTTGAAACGATAAATACTTTATTGCTTTTATTAATAAAAATATATTTTATGCAAACTGACAAAGAGAAATACAATGTGAACAAACTTAACATTATTTATCAAAATGAGGTAACGTATCATAAAATGTATGGCAGTCTACTGGAATTACTTCTTTCAGTTGTTGAAGATGACAATATTTTTCATATTTTATTTTCCTTCTCTCTTTGTTCATTTGAGGCCAAACAACCGGTAACTTAACAAGTTTTGGTCTTTGAGGTAGCAAACTCCAGTCATCGTCAAAGTTTAATTTATAGTAAATAGTTCCTTCTGGAACATACTTTAAGGCTCGTATATCATTTACTGTAGGATCGCCTGCTGTCTAAAAGTAAGAATTATCAAATAATAATAATAATAGTTTTAGAAATGTTTACATATTATTTATCACAACGTAGTAGGTAGGTACTCACTTTTCCAGGTCTAATTGATGAGTATCGATGATTCTTCTTTGAAGTGTAATCAAGAAAATCGGTATACTGCATTTGTTTGACTTCATATGGAAATGGATTCTTTCTTGCTCGTTTAGTTTCTCGTATAAAATCGCTTGGCAAATGAATGTCACGTCCCTTTAACTGCCTTTCGATACAACTATGGACCGAGTCACATTCCATTTGCGTGTGACCTACCTCTAAATACTTCTGCATAATTACAATCCGTTTTTCCACGGAATATTGCAAGAGTGCGTTTGACAACACCACATTTCGGTTCTGGTACGTGCATCCGTCGCTGTAAATTATCAAGCTACCCTTTACATTATGACAGTGCTTGGACAAATACTGTATTATACAAGTTGTGAAAGTAGAAGCAGTCATATCTGCTTCGACCTCTGTAAACCAAAAACAAGTACTATGATGACTAACTAAATCATACACAGTAAAGTTGTGGCATGATAATTTTGTTTTATAAAAAATTGCACTAGCTGTAACAAACGGGCAGACTTTAATGGCTTCTAAATCCATTGCCAATACGCATACACCAGATTCTTTATCTTTCTGCTTTTCCTCTCTTGCTCTATCCTTTTTTAGTATATGAAGTTGGTAGTCATCTTCTGCAAGCTGACCAACTTCATACTTTACACAAACGTCACATTTATCCTTCTTAATTGGATGAATTGACAAATTCATTAAATGAAATGTGTCACTAAAGACACTTCGCGACATCGGTTGTTGTTTTTCTTCTAAGCATTTGGTCTTGTATACTTCGTAAAGATGTTGTATATTACGAAACACGTCTTCCAGGTAAAGTTTCGAGGAATTGGCTCTTCCATAGTGTGATGGAAGTTTGGGTAAGCTATTAAAAAATTCAGTCATAAATAGCTTGCTTCCAGTTTGTACCTGTTTATTGGGCAATGTCTCTTCAATTTGTTTATTCGAATCGCTCATTCCATGCTTACCTTTCTTTACCCAATCCATAACGCAGTATTCACCTAAATCTAATGATTGTAAAAACATCTTTTTGCACACTTGTACTTTGGAGTTATTGATACTTAAATAGTAATTTAATGTGGTATGCCTGCGACTCAATTCACGTTGGGTATATACTCGTTTCCGGGGTACACTCATTACATGGTTAACAACATAAACTTTTCGTTGCTCCCAATTCATGGTATTCCAAAATGCTTTAAAAACTTCTACGCGCTGCTCTTGTGTTATTTGCGAACATTGCTTTGATTTAACTCTTAAACATTCTTTGGAAGTACAAGTTGGTCCAATTTGTCTTTCTTTTCTTTTAGCATCATTTGTTACTTTGCCGAGAACATTTCGGTAACCGATATAAGCCTTACCTTCCATTCTGAGTTGTTTGTTATGATTTTTAGCCCAGCTCTCAGGCTTCCGTTTACGGTTTCGTTTTCTTAACACTGTAGTTGCTTCTTTCTGAATATGTAGCTGCGTTAGATGTTCGTGATTATCCGAAAGAGTATGTTCGAGAGAGGCTGTAATAGGAGTAGGGTCTGTAATAATTTCAATTTGAAAATCATCAACGTCTCGACAAACTTCACTAAACAGAGGTGTTTCAATTATTACTGGTATATTATTAATATCAATAGTAGTAGTGCCTTCTGACTCATTACGGAAGTCATGCATCACAACTAAAAAGAAAAAAAAATAACAATAGGTAAAAGCTTCTACCTAGTCTTAAGTCGTAAATTTATTCTTCTATGTCGTATGTTCTTACCTTGTTCCAAAACAATATTATGTTCATCACACATTGGGAGTTCAACCTGTTGAACAGTGTCGATAGCAACATCAATAGTAATGGCGTTATTAGTTGAATCATGGTTAGCAACTAAAAAATTTATAAAAATAAACAATGACGTTCCCTTTAAATACTTATATAGCAGCAATTTTTCAGCTTAAATACTGCATTCCTACCTTTTTGAGAAGAGTTTATCAAATTTTCTACCAAGCAATTGTCTCCAACCTCCTCATTACACGCTGACTTGCTAATTGTGTCTGAAAGACTATGTGTTGACTCCGAACGAATATCTACAATATAAATAAATACTAAAGTTAACACATTTTAGCTGCCGCATGCAATTAATAAGTAAAATTAATTAGAAAGACAACGGAGTACTAAATACTAACAACACTTAAAGTATTACTTACCTAAACCAGTATCTGTGTCTATTAAAGCAAGGTCAACTAACTTACGGCCCCGTGAACACATTTTTGTAAAACTATAATCAACAGTATATTTATATTTTTATATTAAAAACAAAACAACAAATCGTAATGATGCACCTATGCATGTACACTAAAAGATAATCACAATTTATAGGTTAACTAACTAACAGTTGAGCGAATGACTGTACGCTAATATCTCGTAAGCCACAGAACCGAAATACTAAATGTGAATTAGGTGTCATGTTTGGGTTACGAGATTTTTAAAAAGGTGGGTTACGGGGTATTGCTATTCATACTCTCAGCAATGGGAATACGAGCTATTAGAAAACACATTTAATAATATAAATAATAAAGTATGGCTTACAAGGTTTTTTGTACAGGCGAGTTTAGCTTTACATTATACTAATATGTAAAAAACGCATTTTCCAATTTTTGTGGGTTACGAGGTATTAGAACGACACAGACGCATTGTAACTGCCACGGAAATTTCACAAACTCTAAAAATTCCAATTCTCTTTGGGTGAGACTGAGAGACAAGAAACTTTATATTGATATTGATTGTTAATTAAGTTTCAAAATTGTCACTAAATATTGAGATATACAATAAATAAAGTTTTAATATTTTTTATTTGTAATTCCCATTTAAATATTTATTCCCTAAATATGGTGTGTTCTCCGATCCATATATTTAATCTTTGTTATTTATATTTAACTAATTAAACATTGACAATTTTTGTATATAGCAAAAAGTAGATGAGCATTTAGTTTTTTCATAATTTAATGTAAGTTTGTTTATTTGCAATCATGTTTTTATTTTGAAGTCTTGTTCTGTTGTAATTTTAAGATTTTCCCAATTTTCGATCTAATTATGTTTCCAACAATTTTTAGTTTGAGCATTTTAGGAATTTCTTTGTTTCGTTTAAATCAAATATTCTCGTGTATAAAAACCCTCTATATATTTTTATTTTTTAAAAAACACTATATTCGTATTGTTGTCTGCGAGCACTTTCACACCAGTAGGCCAACATCTGTGTTGATTTTTTGACCTGAGCCTTCGGAGACAATAAATTTAATGTGTGTTCATAGTTCTCTGGTTTTTATTCTGAACTATCCCTTGGTAAACCAAAATTTATTTTTTTATTGCTTCACTTAACGAGAGCTCAGGCGGACACGTCGGTGTCGGATTACTCAAAGTCAAATTAATACTATTATGTAATAACTAATAATAATTACAAAGCAATAGTAATTACCTGTTATTATTCTTAGGAAATCTAAATAAACTTATTCCTTTTCCTGTCACAGATGAACATCCGCGAAACGCACAACAATAACCAGAAGACATTTTAAATACTTATAAATTAAACTTTTAACTATAACTATAAACTTATATATTTAACTTATATATTTTGTAGCGTTTTTTTTATTTAAAGTGTATAGAAAAGATTTCTGTGGTACGTCCCTGTTGTTTCTACCAAGAACTCGATCAATAAAGTTAAATGAAGGTACATTGTAAATATTTCAAGTTTTTTTTTTTGACGAGATTTTTAAATGCGTATTAACGTTGGAAATATGTTTTTATCTCTGTGTTGCAATGTTAGGTGAAACAAACAAGTTTTTTGTCGCCAAAGAGGTATTATGCTACATGAATTCCCCCTAATATTCCAGTTGACAAAAAGTTGTTTTTCGTTATTAGAATGAGAGTCAAAAAGAATATTTGTTTATTTAGGATACCAATACTGGCGTCTAAAAACGCAATAAAGGAATATTTAAAAGGTTTTTTTGTCGATACGAGCGAGGGGATATTGTTTTGGTTCTTGAGTTTGTGGGGACAGGTTAGCTGCAAGACGGAAGGGAAATTTTTGGCTAGTTTCTTGTAAAATGTAACGAAGAAAAGAAGTCGAGATTTAAGTTCCAAACGGGGCAGACATGTGACAATGAGTCAAAGATTGAACGAGTCGAGATTAAGTTTCAAACAGAGCAGATATGTGACAATAAGTCGACGATTAGATTTGAAGCAGAGCAGACGTGCTACAATGTGAGTCCAAGAACCTATTTGAAACGGTGGTAGACGCTTTTTGCGGATGTGAAATGTTGGGCCATTTTTGAATCAAAGAGGATTCAATTTCTTTTGAAATGTCTTAGGACCGGTCAATGATAATACTATCAGATTTGAATAAATACCGGAAGCTTCTAAGAAGTATGATATAGGATGTCCCCGTAGTCGGCTTATTTCTTCCACTAAGTTCCTGTTCCAATCGTTTTGTCCTGGAGTGTAGAACTAGTTCCTGATGGTTGCTGCCTTCCAGTTTTGAAAGTTTTGTCCGAGTAGCTTCCCCAGAGATGTAAAGTTTCAAAGTGTTTGTATAAAAAAAAAACATTAAGGTAACAATTTAATATATTAATTTTTCAAAGTAAAGACATATTTTTTGGCTAAAGTAATAATTGCTTTCATTCTTTGTCATCAAAATTAAATGTGATACCTGACAGCAAGCTTAATTTGTTTTTTTGTTATGACAATTTTAATTTGATTATATGTAGAAACGATATTTCATATATAAGGTTAAATTTATATGTTTTCATTAAGAAGGATCCTTAATTTTTGATAATCTAATTGGCCATAATATAGTAAACAAAGAACATGTAAGTTTTTGTTATTTGTATTATGTTATATGATATGTTTCTTTTATAATATGTATTTTTGATCTGTTTTGTTTGAGACAAGAATAAACGTTCAATTTGTTTCTCTGATCTATTTTGAGTTTTATTTGAAAAAGATATTTTTTTCTATATTTTTGATGTTATACAATTATTTCCCTAGTTACAACTAGTGGTTGTAATAGGTATAATTGGGCACCTCAAGTGGCGCCCTATATTAAATTTCTTGAGGTGTTTCCGTTTATTTTCATTCTGTTTGTCCAATAGATTTGTATAAGTACCCCTTTATTTCTTTTTTTGTAGTTGCCCCAATCTAACCCCCAATATCTTCAACTTATCCACGACCCAGCTCTCCAACAACCAACTGAGTGTCCGTATGCACTTGTTTCGATTATTTTGTTTGCCCAATCTTGTCCCCCATATTCTTACCCTGTGGTAAGCAAAATAGTCGTTACAATTTTAACTATAAACTATAACTATAAACAATCGTAAAATAGTTTCGAAACACAATTCAGATTTCTGCTTTATAATATGAGCCTTCTAAGAATTGCAAGGCAAACAGACGTTGATAAAAGATGTTAAAAGAGACATGGGGAATCTAAAATTTGCATTCCACGACATGTCTTTTACAACTAAGCAGTTGTAAAATTTTATAACTATAAACTTTTAACTACTAAGTAAATTAGATAAATGGTCAAATGCACTTGTATAGTCGAGAGTTTACCACAGATGCCTATGGACTATCGTAAGCGACTAAAGTTGAAGAAAACGCACGTGTTTTTGACAGTAAAGCACCTTATTTGGGTCATGCGTATACAGAAAAGTGTTCGTATGTTCTCTGTTAATACATTAAATATTTTTTCAAAATAGGTACAAAACTGTCGAAGGTACATAAATATTATGTTTATATATACACTGCGCATCACCAAAAAGAGGCCACCTAGAATTTTGTAAGAATTTTTCAATAACTTTAAGTTTATACAATTTATTCTATTGTAAATAAATTCACACAATGCAGAAACACTTTTATCGTCTTTTAGGCACATACAAACGGTGCCGACAGATCAATAATAATAAAGTTTGCAGAATTGATATCACTTTTATGTCTTTGGATAATGCACATGTTGTTTGTACCTTATTTTTTTGAATATGGCTATTCTGTTTTTCAAAAACCTTTCACTAGTGTACAGTTGTTCAAAGAGTAAACTTAAGCATTTTTTAAATTAAAAACTATGGCTGAGTAATTTGCTAGACCTGTTCAAATTGTTACTTTGATTGGTAATGGAATGAGTCAAAGAGAAGTAGCCAGACAGCTTGGAGTCAGTTGTTGTTTGGTCCAAAAAATTTACCACCGATTCATAGAGACTGGATCTCACGAACGACAACCAGGATCAGACTCGAGAAGAATCACGACAGCCAAATCACTTTGCCACTTTGCAAAATCGGTTTTTTAGGGCTAGACCAAAACCGTTTTCAAAATGCTTACGGGTGGACTTTAAGCACTTCTACTGTGATTAGAAGGTTGAGGGAATTTGGTCTAAGGGTTCGCTGTCCAGCAACAGGACCTTTGTTAACAGCAGCACATCGACAACGCCATCTACAGTTTGCTAGAGGCCATGAGCATTGGACAATAGAAGATTGGGAAAATGTTTTTTTTAGTGATGAGTCCAGGATGGTTCTTTATGGCTCAGATGGGTGCATCAAAACATACAGAAGATGTGTGAAACGATATGCTGCCTGTGTTTGACTAGTACATGTTGCTGTTGGACGAGGTTCGTTAATGTTTTGGGCAGTCATTTCATTCGAGGGTCGTACTGATCTCGTATTTATTGATGGAGGAGCGTTGAATGCACACTGATACATTACCGAAATTCTAGTCAAACATGTAATCTAAAACCCTTTTGCTGGGTTTGTAGCGAAAACTTTATTTTTATGCAAGACAACGCACGGCCACACGTAGCCAGGATAGTAATGCAATATCTGGAAACTGTCAGTGTGCCAAAAATGAACTGGCCGGCTCAAAATCCAGATTTGAACCCGATTGAACATGTTTGGGACCAACTCAACCTGCTCCAATAAATCGTGAAAAGCTTCAGTTGGCGCTCATGGAAGAATGGGAAGCATTTCCTCAAAACGGCATCCAGAATTTGATCAATTCAAACGCCAAATCGAATAATAAGTGTAATTCGCAATAGAGGTGGTAATACACAGTATTAATAATCACGACTTAATTGTAATTTTATAAAGAAAACAGAAAAAATGTACAATGTTAATTTTTTTTATTTTTCAATAAAATCAATATTTTGGAGGTAGTTATTTTTTGACAATTGTTATTTAAAAAATGATTGCATACTGCTTTAGAACATATTCTTAAACATTACACAAACATCTAATGACAATCACTTTGTGGTATGATTCGTAAAAATTAAAAAATGGAAAAATTTTAGGTGGCCACAATTATTGACTAATGAAAATTACATTTTATAATTTTATATTTGATGTTTCAAATTCCAATCCGGAAATCGTTTTCAAAAAAGATATTTTAAAAATGGTAAGATGTTATTTTAACCAAAAGTTGTTTAGATTTTAAATATTGTTTTCCAGAAAAAAACAATTTTTTTAAGAAAAATTAAATTCTATCTCTATAGCACAATAAAAATACAATAAAGTACCATAAACATACTTTCTTTTTACAAAATGACAAATTGGTTTTCAAATATCCTTCCTATAGAGGCATTGTATCGAATGTAATCATTTTCAATAAATCACAACAATCATAAAAACTGAACTGCATATTTTTTACAGTTATTGTTACTGGTGCTGATTCGTATTAACTCTCACAAAATAATAAGTGTTCATTGACAATAAACCATCAGAAATGAGGAATTTGGTCAAAAAACTGTATTCAGGTTTATTTATTTTGTCAAAAACTCACTATTGCTATTATAACTATTGCTCTCTTTAATATCTTTTTCAGGCAAAAGAAACGAAAGAGGCGGCGGTTTTGACAAAGGCGGCAGAGGTGGCGGTAGAGGGAACAGAGGCGGCGGTTTTAGGGGCGGCGAGAGGTATGGTAATGACGATTTTGAAGGACGGCCTCTTTCAAGAGGGAACTTCAATGATAGAGATAGGGGTGGCCATAGAGGAAATTACGGTAATTTTGCTGGTAAGATGTTTTTAGTAGTAATTTTTCAATTGCACAGTTTGTGTTGTCCTCGTATCCAGCTAAAAAGAAAATGTAGTGAGTAGATCATTAAATTGTTTGAACTGTGTAATTTCAAATTGCTACTAATCTGTATTATATATTTTATGTATGTACAAATTTCCCAATTTATTAGATACTACAGGGTTACACAATTGAACTGTTACCAACTTCAAATCTATATATCTGGCAAATCAATAATGACAGCTACGTCAAGGTTAGCCTGATAACACTTCAGTATATTGTTTATAAGCCATCAAAAGCATCTGCATTTAAGTTTTATACATACAGCAAAAGTTATTCGCAATGGAATTTAAACTTAGTAGTGTGATTGCGTTATATATGGCTGGAAAATCACAACCAGCTATTGTTCGTCAGCTCAAACACCTCAAAGTGAATAAAATGTTTGTGTATCGCACCGTAACTCGTTATAATGATACTGGTAGCATTGCCAAACGCTAGGGTGGTGGATGAAAAAAAGAAACAGCAACATCACCTGAAATGGTTCGGAAAGTGAAGGCTCGAAATCCACGTTGTAGTGGTAATCAAATAGCCAAAGAACTGAAAATATCCCAGCGAAGCATGTAACGAATATTGAAAAAGGAGCTCAAGGTCAAGCCTTACAAGATCCAAAAAGCACACAATGTCACACCAAAGCAAAAAAAAAGTACGGCTTGAAAGAGCAAAGGAGTTGTTACGCCTGCACGAACGTGGCGAATTTCCGAACATAGTGTTCTGATGATGATGAGAAAAATTTCCCTATTGAGCAGTTCATAAACTCTTAAAATGATCGTGTTTACTTGACCGAACGCACCTACGATAGTTTGAGCTTACGAACGGCCACCCGAAGTAATTTCCCATCTCGAGTAATGGTATGGGCAGCTGTAACCGCCGATGGACGCTCTCCAATAGTTTTTATTGAATCTGGTGTCAAAGTCAATGCAACTTGTTATCGGGAAAATATTTTCGAAACTGCTTTAGAGCCGTGGGCACGCAAATATTTTGGTTGTAGACCATGGATGTTCCAACAAAACTCCGGCACCGTCTCATAAAGCTAGTGTGAACCAAGAATGGTTAAAAAACCATGTTCCACACTTCATTTCATCCACACAATGGCTTTCGAATTCGCCGAAGCAAATCTGATGGACTATTCCATCTGGTCCATTTTGGAGAGCAAGGTGAGGACTAAAAAATATGCCAGTATGGATGCGCTGAAGAAAGCAATTACAAGTGAATAGGCCAAAATACCGGAAGATCACATTCGTGCAGCATACAACTCGTTTTGATCGTTTAAAGGCCATAGTCAAGGCAAAAGGTGGCCACATCGAGCTAAAATGAGTGGATTCTGAAATTTTGATTATTTTCACACATTTTTGTCATTTGAATCAATAAAAAATAATTTCACACAAAAAAATTATGGTCGTTTGAATAGGTAACAGTTCAATTGCGTAACCCTGTATATATATATATATATATATATATATATATATATATATAAATAATGAGAGAGCTTCATAATGGAAGAAATTGAATGAATGATAATTCCATCAAAAAGTGCTATTTTGGACTGAGTAGTCACATAAAAAGTAGAAAAATAAGCCAGAAAACAAAAACAACAATATACTAAACTCTTATACTACCAGAGCTGACATATGGATCATCTTCAACATAGATGAAAACTTTTTCGTGAAGATTAAAAATCATATTGGTAAGAAAGATCCTGAGGAGATTATTTGATGGCAGCTTCGAAAACAATATTTGGAGGAGGAGGTACAACTTTGAAATATGCCACAAATACAAACATATCTGTTGGTAAAGACATGATATCTTTCATAAAAATAGGAAGACTAGATAGACAGGACATCTACCAAGAACATAGCAGAGCAACCTTCCTGGATGGACCCTCATGTCACAACCTAGGGGAAGTAGACAGAAAGACAGGTGAAAGCTTGGGATGGATGGATAGTGTAGATGAAGATGCTAGAAACATAAATACAGCAGACTGGCAACAGTTGGCAATGTCTAGACTGGCAAAATAAACTTGGTAAGGTCAATGCTCTAGTATAGGGCTGTAGCACTATTTACAATTATTAGATACTATAGAAGTGATATATTCATCATAGCTTAATAACAGTAAACAAGTTCATCTATATGACAAAAATAATCATTAATGATGAGATAGAGAATATTCCTCAGAATATCAATAACATCTTATCATAGTAGGTATATCCAGACATAAATATGTCAATACAGTAACTAGAAGTACATACAGGAGAATGGTGAAAAATATTTACTCACACACATTCAATCCATTCATTAGAGGTTTTATGAATATATGGTGTAGAAGATGTGCTTTAAGTAATAATAATTTCAGATGTACTATAAGATTCATACTATATAGTTCAGTTTTCTGAATCTGTAGGAGTATTTCTGCGTAGTAAGCAGAAGCTTATAGGAGATCGGCTGGATAAGTTGCTCCATTTTTGAATATCTTTCAGATTGTCAATGGTTCTGATTCTGTAAAACGAGTACTAGCTCCATCAAAGAAGCTAAGAGTTTAATTAGTTCAAAGTTATCTCACTGATAGTTCAATATCAGTTGCCAAGGGCAAATATATGAAACTAATTACAGGAGTTAGGATTGCAAGGATTCATATTGCAAGACTATGGTACCATATAAAATTGCATAATGATTGTTAAAAATTGAAACCTCATAAGTTAAAATTTTAATTTTTTTAGGAGAGTGAAAAAAGTTCAATGTTTAGTACATATTTGTTCTTTCTTAGTATTTATTTAATTATTACCTTGAAAAAAACATGACAATACATAGTTTTGATGTACACAAACCCTCATAAATCAAAAAATGGCCAATTTTTGACTTAATGGTTTTGACATTTAACTGTCAATATGTTAATTATTTCAATATACAATATTAATTGTTATTTAATCCTTTAGAACATTATCTGAAGTTACATTTTGAATTTTACTGTATATTAGGTGACGATGGACACAGGGGTGAAGTGGTCTGGTCTCAGAATAGGGGACGTGGAGGTAACCAAGGTGGTGGTGGTGCTGGTGGTGGAGGAGCTGGTGGTCCGGCTGGCGGCTTCGGCGGTGGCAAACCACGACCGGAAAGGAAGAGTTTTTCAGAGGATCTCCCCAGTGGTCCCCCAGGTAAGTCGTTTTTATAAATTGTATTAAGTGTTGTTTTTTTTTTAATAATACTCCTCATCATCATCATCAGTGGTGCTACAGCTCTAGTTGAGCCTTGACCTTCCCCAGTCTATTTCGCCAGTCGTTTCTGTTCATCGCCAACCGTTGCCAATTTGCCGCGCCGATCTTCCTTGCGTCCTCGTCCACACCGTCCCTCCATCTCAGTCGTGGTCTGCCTCTACTCCTATTTCCCACTGGGACCGATAATAGAGTTCGTCTGGGTGGGTAATTTTCATTTGCTCTTGACACATGTCCAGCCCATCTAAGCCTACCTATTTTTATGAAGGATATTACATCTCTACCATTTACTATTTTTTTTTTTTATACTTCTCGTACAATTCGAAATTATCGAAAATTCGAAATTCTCCAAATACCATTCTCACAGAATGCGCCCATTATTCTTCTTAGTATCTTCCTTTCGAAGGCGAGCAGAAGATTTGCGTCTGTTTTGGAGATTGTCCATGTTTCTGACCCATATGTCAGCACTGGTAGGATGAGTGTTCGATATATTATTAGTTTGGTTTTCTGGCTTAAATTTCTGTTTTTTAGCTGCTTGCTTAGTCCAAAATAACATTTGTTTGCTAGCAGTACCCTCCGTTTAACTTCTTCAGATGTGTCATTATCGTTTGTTATGAGAGAACCCAAATATGTAAACTTATTTACTACCTAAAATTATATTGGTCTATACTGAAGTTTTGTTCGGCGTTTCTAGCTCTATCTCTGTTATTTGGAATAGATGCTAACATTTTGGTTTTTTCCTCGTTTATTTTAAGGCCCATATTTGTGCGGCTGTCAAGAGGGCGGAAGTCATCTCTTTAAGTCCTCGTGTAGTACGTGCAATCAAATCCAGATCGTCAGCGTAAGCCATAATCTGCGTTGATTTATTAAGATTGTTCCCCTATTGTGTAACCCGGCATCTCTTATAGTCTTTTCTAACGCTATATTAAAGAGAAGGCACGCCAGCGCGTCTCCCTGCCGTAACCCTGCATATGTTTCAAACGCTTGTGACATATCGCCTTGTATTTGCACTCTGCAGATCACTTTACTCATAGTTGTTTTTACGAGCCTTATTAATTTATGGGGAATGTTAAGTTCATTCATGGCTTCGTATAATTTACCTCTTAGGACGCTATCATACGCTGACTTAAAGTCCACAAAGAGATGGAACGTGTCAATATTAAATTCATTGGTTTTTCTAAGATTTGACGTAAATAATACTCCTGTCCAAAAATATATTTATTTATTTATCAACGGACAATCGCCCAATTGAATTACAGTTGATTCTTAACGTAACCTACTTAAATTAAATTTAAAAATTTTAATCATACAAAAAATAAAAGTTGGAACAGTAAATAACAAACATTAACAAAGAATGTACAAAACACAAGGACATCAAGCTATCACACACAGTTCTTAAGCTGAGCTTTAAATTGTTTTGGAATACTATAACAATCCAACCTTTGGGAATAATGGTTACAAACATTGGTGTTCTAAATGTGAATGAATTGAGTCCGTAGTTTGTGTGATGGGGTCTAACATAAAAGGGTTGAGTTAGGCTTGTTTTTCTACTGGGAACATGGAGATTAATTTTTTCCAATAGCTGAGGACCAAAAATAATGAGTGCAGTATACTATAAAACATAGTGAGATCCTTGTGTTGAATTTATGTTAAGGGACCTTTCCATATTTGAATAGTTTCAATCCTCTGGTTTTGTTTAAATGCAACAAATCTTACGAATTTGTGTTGAACGCTCTCAATAGCTTAAATATGGGTGTTATAGTGAGGAGATCAAACACATGAACAGTAATCTAGGTGGGGTCTCACAATTGAACAATACAAAATTTTTATGGATGGGATATTTAGAAAGTCTTTAGCACAACGTTTGATAAACGAGTCTAAGGGGCAACCATTGATAGTATAGATATGATTTGTAGGAGTTTTATTCTGACAAAAAACTATTAAATGACACTTTGAACATTAAGTTCCATTCCGTTGCTATATAAATATAAAATTCAATGTTTTATTAAATTGTGTACTAGTTCTTTCTTTTTGTTCATATACTTGGTCTTAATTTTTAATTCAGTACTTGTGAAATTTAATTGGTTTAAACCCTTGCAATTTAACATGTCCAATTTTTGATGTGTATATCTTGGAGTATGAAGACATTCTTGAATTTTTATCTGATAACTGCTGGCTTTTCTATAGCTGTTCTAGTCTGTTCATTGGATATATTTAATATTGTAGTATAGTCTACAATCGGTACAGTAGCTATGTAGGCCATCACACATACTTTATTGTTGGTAGAGATTAGTTTAATTCTCTAAGGGGGTCTGAAAAACAAAAAGTTACAGAAGTAGTTTATAATCCAAAATTCCGAAAGGGGTTAAAACGCTAGAAAATCAGAAAATGCTTTATAACCTAAAGTAGATAAAAAACGCCTTATACCATGTAAGATCGGTGTCATTGTTCTAATTCATATGGCGTTTGTGAATTTTCAAAAAGTATTAGACTCCATCGCATTATGGGCTGTGTTAGAATCTCTAGAAAATGCAAGTATATATTTAAGATACTAAGAAAGTATATATTTAGCAATTTAATCAAAAACCCATGCAAATAAAGCTGGATAAAAGAACAAAAACGAATCCCATAAAAGTACCACGGGGGTAGTGAGACAAGGAGATACTATTTCTATCAAACTATTCACCCTTGTATTCGAAGACATTGTTTGAAGAAATTAGAATGGAACAACAAGGGTATAAACATCCACGGATCATACTTTATACCCATTTGAGATTTACATATGACAGTTATAATTGCAGATAATATCCAAGAACAAATTAAATGCTACTACAATTAGATGAAGTTTCCAGAGTGGCAGGCTTAGGCACAAACAAATACCATAAAACCATAGACAATTTTGGAACATTATATACACTTGGGCCATGTCATCAAATTGGGAAAACCAATCAAGATACTGGAATTAAAAGAAGAATTCAACTGACATGGACTGCTTTCAATAAACTAGCATATGTCTTGATAACACCTTTATTCCTATAAAGTTAAAGAAAAAGTTGTATAACATATATGCATACTACCACTGTGTACCTAGTAGCCCTTACCAGGAAATCTGCTAAAAAACTAGAAACAGTGCAAAGGGCAATGGAAGGAAACATGCTTGGATTCAAGCATGTTTGCTTCAAGACAATTCAAGACTATGTAGATGAAAATATAGTATGTTCAAGGCAAACCAAATAAAAACTACAGAAAATTTTAGTTGCCAGTCAAAACCGGATTTATTTGTGGATGGACATTTATTTATATAAATTTGGGGAAACCCTCATTCTATATTTTAAAAAGCTGTTATTTTAGATAAATGATTTGATTGCCAATAAGTGCCAATTTTACACCATTGTTCTAATTATCTTATCTCTGTTAGTGAATCTGCTTCAAGTGTTTGTTCTATTATATTTATGTTTGGTAATACTTGTATTCTAAATATTGCACTATCAGTACTTACAGATAAATTAGATAGGTAATATAAAAAATAAATAAAAACAAAGTGGATTTGATGCTTCATCAGGTGATGTGGATTTGTTTTTTTTTTTTCATTCTTCTTCATAAGTAAACTCATAGACATAATAAGAATAGAGTAGGTACGGTATGGGCCGCTCTGTGAATAGATGTGAAATGACAATATTCACTTTGAATGGTCTAACTATCTTTGTCTGCCATATGTCATCCTGTCTCTCATACAATTTGTCAACATCTTCGATTAATACAAAATCATTCCTTTCTATAGTGTGTTTTTCTAAAAATCGAAAAAAAGAATTTCAATGTACTAAAAGGATTGATTGTTACCTCTTAGAGAAATCATCAAAGACTGTTTTATTTCTAACTTTTCTAACAAGCACTTTTCTTGTTGAATTTATTTATATATGTACTGCATTAGAATGTAATCTGTTTTTGCTTACCATAAAAGAATTTTCACATTTTACAACACTTTTTCTACCACAACATCTAACCACTTTTTTCTAGAAATCTATATTAAAACAGTAATGACAAACACGGAAGACCAAGAGGCAATAAAAATAAAAACAGAAAAAATAGAACAGGTAAATGAGTATATCTATCTAGGACAAGCGATCAGAGCTAACAGAGAAAATCAAACAGCCGAAATATCGAGACGAGTAAGAATGGGATGGACAGCGTTCTGCAAACTTTCTTACGTTCTAAAAAATCAAACAATCCCTCTATACTTACGAAGCAAGGTATATAACTCCTGTATAATACCGGTGCTCACCTACGGAGCACAGACATGGACATTTACACAGGCCAATTTGAATAGGATAAGGAAGGCACAAAGAGCGATGGAGAGACAAATGTTGGGTGTATCACTTAGAGATAGAAAACGTAACCCAGTGGATCAGAACCAGAACAAAGACAGTAGACGCGATAGAACAAGCAGCAAAACTGAAATTGAAATGGGCTGGACACAATGAACGTCTCCAAGACGGACGATGGAACAATTGCCATCGGAAAGTGGCGTCCATACAATGCAAAGAGATCAAGAGGCAGACCACAGATGAGGTGGAAAGATGACATCAGGAAACAAGGAGGTTCCAGATGAGGAGGAAAGATGGAGAGAACTGGGGGAGACCTATATCCAACAATGGAAGGATAGAGAATAGGTTCAAAATATATATATATATATATATATATATATATATATATATATATATATTAAAACATAAAAATAATAATTTATATTTTCATATTTGAGAAAATATCTACCAGAAAATGGTTATACCATCTATTTTAATCAAAAAGGTTAGAATTTGATTTTCAATATTTCAAAATTGTTTTACTTACTTAAAAAAGCTGGAGTCTTTCGTCTCCTGAGTTAAAATCTTTTTGGCACAAGTACTTGTCATTTTACAGTTAGTTTATTTTGCAATTAATTTTTACATTATAAAAAAGTGAATATAAAATTCAATTCAAAAATCAATATTAAGAGTTAAACGCAACGCAGTTGTTTTACTTAAGCCAGAGTACAGCGGCATATGCCTAATTCGTAAGCGGTGTTAAAGAGTGTTTCATTATTTTGTTCACGATGCCTAGTCTATTCTTAATATGTCTATGAGCAAACTACTTCACTTAAAATCCAAACTTTGTTTGGTGTCTTTTTCCAAAATATTTCTTGTACATCATATCTTGGAGCCAAAAGTAACATCTCTATCAATTCTTGGTGGTTGGTTATTGATATTCCATGCTTTCCACAAATTTTCTAGCAGGCTCTAACCATTTTTGGTTTCAGTTCATTTAACGTCACTTTAATGTAAATTCCAGCATTACATGACGTCATGATTAGAGTCTGAATTAATGGAAAAACATTTAGGGCGAATATGAGACTCCTCTCTTCTATCTAATGACACTGTGGTCTGAACTATTACAGTTGTCTTAGGTGGTATACTTCTTCTTTAGGTGTCTTCTTTTCCATTACTGAAGGTTGGCTATAACTACAGCAAATTGCTCTCTATCTTGAGCTGTTCCTAGTATCGAATGTGTGTCCATGCCTGTTCAGTCTCTTACATTCTTCACCCAGGAGCATTTTCTTCTTCCTGGATCTCTTTTTCCTTCCACGTTCCCTTCCATTATAAGTCGTAGGAAGTTGTATTTTTCTCCTCTGTAAATATGTCCTAGATAACTCGTTTTTCTGTTTTTTACAATATTTAGGAGTTCTCTCTCAGTACCAATTCTTCTTAGCACCTCGTTGTTAGTCACGTGCTCTGTCCAAGAGATCTTCAGCATCCTTCGAAAAACCGACATCTCAAAGACTTGTATACGCCTCATACTTGTAATTCCGAGTTCATGTTTCCACTCCGTATAGCAATATGGAATAAATAAACGTTTTTACAAATTGGTATGGGATATCCAACGATAACGTAGAGTTTATTAGGAATTTTTTCATTCGTTGAAATGCGGACCTATCATATTCTATACGAGCACGTATTTCGACCTCGTGGTCAATATCGTTTGTTATCCAGCAACCAAGATACTGGAGTCTTTGTACTGGTTCTATATTTTTGTTATAGATACGAATATTAATGTCATTTGGTGCACGTGTAACAGCCATTATTTTGTTTTATTTGTATTTATATTTAGTCCCAAGCTATCTTTCTCTCTGGTTATGACATTCAAAAGTCGTTATAAACCCTCAGCACTGTCCGCAATAATGACGGTGTCGTCTGCGTGTCTTAAGTTGTTTACGTATTCTCCGTTGATTTTTATCCCTTCTTCAATATTTTCGAGGGAATTTTGAAAGATCTTTTCTGAATATATATTAAATAACATGGAGAAAGTACACAGCCTTGACGAACTCCTCTTTTATTGACAATTCTGCTGACGATTGTCTATTTTGATCGACGCCATTTGCTCCCAATATAGTTTTTGAATAAGAACTATAGTGTTATGGTCTATATCATGTTGTGTTAGGGCTTCTATGAGTTCTGTGTGTTTTACTCGATCAATCGCTTTTTCGTAGTCGATAAAACAGAGAAACACGTCTTTTCGCTGATTTCGGCATTTTTGTAGTAATATCTGGAGGCCAAATAATGCCTCCCTTGTATCAAGCCCCATACGAAATCCAAATTGATTGTCGTTCAGGTTTCTTTCGCATTCTCTGTATATTCGTTGATGTATAATTTTGAGTAAAATTTTCAAAATGGCTCATTAGGCTAATTAATCTGAACTGTGAGCATCTATTTACTTTATTTTTCTTGGGTATTCGCTCTGAGGGTTAACAAAGTGTCAAAGCAAAATCGACTGACCTGCTCATGGTGGCGATTGCTCGAAATTTTATCAGGACACTTTTCTGCATGGTACAATGAACATATTCATTGTACCATGGATGTTGATCATTGGTTGATCATGTATATATAACCTCACTTTCGTAGATTAGGTTAAGAAATCTTTATTAACGACAAAAAATATTTTTGTTGAACTATAAATGTCACTATAAATAGATAACTAATTAATTCTAAAAATTGTATCCGTATATTAACACTACAAAATAAAATATTTAAGTTTAACAAAATAATCCCATAAGACTCAATACTAAAACCAAAGAATATATTCTTTGCTAAAACGTCCTCATAAATCTGACAGCGTGTCACGTGACTGTAAATAGAGGGGAGACCCACGGAGCGAATAGGTATAAATGTCGATCTAAGCCAGTCTTCTGGGAAAATTCCAGTGTCCTTCATTGATACGCTTTATCATCTCTACATATATTTCATCTGGACCTGAGGCTTTTCGTGGCTTTGCCGTATTGATTGTTTTTGTAACTTCCGATGTTAATATATCATGTATTGTTTCTTGTACTATGTACATTTGCGGTTCTGTTCTCTCGTCATCAAACAGATCTTTGATGTATTTTTCCCAATATCTCCCACATTTTCTTGACTAGATACTATTTGGTTGTTATCATCTACTACAGTTGTTGTAGTGATTTTTGCCTTTATATCTGTGACTTACTTAATCTTTTTGTATGCTTTAAAGTTGTCACGTTTTTTTAGTAAATCTCCCAGTTCCTCATAGTTGCTACTCATCCATTCTTCTTTGGCTTCCCTGATTTTGTTTCGGATGATTCTCTGGGTTTCTTTATATTTTTCTTCATTGTATTCTTTGTTTTTATGATGTTGTCTTGTAGTTGTTCTCTTTGTATAGTTGTGATTGTTGTTTTGAAGGTCTGCCAAATACTTTCTATTGTTTCTTCTGCTTACGCGGGTGCTTCACTGAACTTTTCTTTGAGTGTATCATTGAGTGTTTTCTCTATTTCTGCCTGTATTATTGGATCTTTAAGTTTTTCGAGGCTAGGTTTTATCTTCTCTCTGTATTTGATTTTCTTTAGTTTAATTGAAATTTTACCAACAACAGGATTGTGGTCGGAACCGATGTCCGCCCGGGATATGTTTTAACTCCCCTGATTCCATTTCTATAACGTTTGTCAATTAATATATAATCTTCTTTTGGTTGTTTAAACCAGGTGTTTGCGATCATTAGATTTCTTCTTGGCAAAATTGAACCAGTATTTGTCCTCTATCATTTCTTTGGCCCAAACTAAAGTTTCCTACTACGTCTTCGGTCCGCCCTTCACCTACTTTGGCATTAAAATCTCCCATAATAATGTTTACAGCATTTTTCTTTGTGATCTTCATTAGCTGTTTGATCTCTTGGTAGAATTCTCTGGCTTTTCTCTGGAATTCTCATCATCATCATCAGTAGCTCGACAACCCTTTCTGAGTCCTGGCTTGTTTTAGGATTTCCGCCATTCTGTTTTGTTCTTTGCTTTGTTTTTCCAGTTGGTAATCTTAAGTGTTTTCAGATCTTGTTCCACTTGTTCCATGTATCTAAGTTTGATGACCGCATTTTCGGTGCAGAGGCCTGATGATGGCGATCAAATACTATTATTTTATTTTCTAAATACTTCTACGGCATTCGAAATATGCCCAAAAAATACTGAATTTAAACATTCACAACACAAACGATCGCACGTCACGGAAATGTTTCCACGAAAAGGGATTAGGTGGAATTGTTAACTGAAGTTGTATCGTTTGGAAAAACATACTTGTGTAATCAAAAAGAAGCAGTTTTAAATGCTTTAGATGGTTTGTAATGTTAAAGTTTAAATTTAGCGTTTTAAAACTTAAACCTTAAACTCAAAACCGAAATTTCAGACTATATGTTTTGAAGATTGGCATCTTTTAATGAAAATTCAATAGTGACATGTAAATGGAAGTCATAAATATTATTAATCTCATGAGAATAATAAAAATCGTAAAAATCGTAGACGTTTATATATTTAACACCTTTATAGAAACTGACTTCATTTACGGCGAAATCCAAAATTGCATATGAAAGCTGCTCTTTTCACCATTAAAATGCATTTTGATTTTTGTCGATAGGACACTGATCAAAAGATATCGAATTTTTACAGTAGAATTGATATAAATTTTATTTAAAATTGATTTTGCGTACTTATATAACATTAAAAATCACCGGTCGCTTCAAGCGTTGTTTCTAAGAGAAGGGTTCATTCTACACAAATAGTGCTAATAAACATTTTTGTTCAAAAATATCTCAGTTACATTTTTTATTTGAAACATTTTTTTTCCGGGAGGTAAAAGTGGTAAACTTTTTTTGATATTTTTTGCGGTCCCATAATTAACATGCTCATTGGAGTATGTATTATTAGTCTTTTTTTGTTTACGCTAACTAATACTTAAAAAGAATGGCGACCTTCTTTTTGAAGATTATTCTCTTCCCTGTTCTTTTATGTTATTTTGTATCTATCCTTTTTGCGTTTCTCGCCTCGATAAACGACCCCGACCATAATCTACCAGGACTGAGCAACTGTGTCTTCGAGTCACATAATGTATCAGTACTCTAGGTTTACTTCTTAGTAATTTACTTAACTATGTATGGTACAATACAATGCAAAACTTAAACATTTGGAATAATTCTAATATTTTGATTTTCTTGTAGATACCTCAGGCAGGCCAAAGCTGAAACTGCTACCAAGAACGGTGAAAGCGCCGATAAACGCATTAGCAGATTCGGAAAGAAGTGTATCCATCTTCGGTGCAGGTAAACCGAGAGAAGAACGAGCCCCATCAACGGAAAGTAAAGATGATTAATTTGTGTGTTTTGTTTTCTCTTTTTTAAGTTATTGTAAAGATAATAATTTTACATTTACGCAAAAATGTAACCTTAATAAAAGTATAAAAGGAATTTTTTACAGAGAGGAAGGTCTATAATGAATGTTTTTTCATTTGGATGTGGATGAAGGTTTCATGGTTGGGGACTAGTTGGTTTATGAATAATTTCTTATAAAATTTTTATTGTATAACAGAGTGATGTAACCTTATAAGGCTACAAACTGTAGTGCCTATAGTAGATTATAGTAATCGTGAAATATGCTCATTCAGGGAATTTTTTCTGCTTATTTAGTCAATTTGGTGTTTGTTATACTATTTTTTATAGACAATATGGGTCCTTAGATTCTATTTTTTAGACGTTCAAAACATTTTTGGCAATAGGCAAGTATTTATGTGTTTACCAGCTACATACCTGCTTTGAGATATAAATGTTTGAGCCATCGGTTATGATGTTTCAAATGTCTCTTCCATCATATCTCAAATGATAAAGATTTTCATTGATTTCAATGGATTTCATAACTGCTACAAGAAGTTATGAAGAATGTAGGGCATTAGCCCACTACAACTGACCACTAAAGTTGTAGCAGCTTTCTACTAAAGAAAACGGCACCAAGTGATGTCGTTTGGCATCTTGTGGCGTCTGTAAATCATATTAAAGATACAAAAACATTGAGTTCCGATGGTATTATCACCTATATTTCCTTGTACAAACACAATGTGGGATTTATTATTCAAAATAAAAGTAAGGTGATACCTATTACACATTGTCTTCTTGTCTTAGTATGTATGTTCCTCTACTGCGAAGTATGACTGTGGATACTCGTTTCATAACGAAGATATGTATACAAATTGTAAAGCTACTAAAGGGACTGAACCATACGGCGACAATCAAAACCATATTACTATTGGTATCTGAGGAATATTGGCAGTCCGGATTGTACAGTGGACTGTAATGTGAAAGAACTGGAGGCGTAGAGAATCTATTTCTAAAATATGTTAAAATAGACAATTTCACTGAACATTATATGTTAAAAAAAAAAACAAATCGATGGTGAATTTGTTACAGTGGGAACTCATCGAATGATTATGTGCTTAAAAGCAACAGATCAACCACTGTACATCTATTATTAGGTGGATAATGACTTTGTTGAAATTTTTTTAATCCCAAAAAACTCAGTTTAAACTGAAATCAATTTATTTATAGAAAAATCTGAATATACTAGTCACCCCTCATGAACCCCTTAATCCACTGTCCAATATCTTGCTAAAATTATTTGGGGAATTAAGATTTTCAGATTGTTCTATGTAATCGATTTTTATGCTGCATTTTACTGTGTTATTAGGAGGCAGGCGTTCCTGATGATATTTTTTAAAAACATTGCTATAGATTTCTAATAATTTTTTTCTGCGACTCCCCAAAAACGTACTTGCAAAGTTTCGTTAAGTGTTTTATTCGGTTTAAAGTATGTGATACATTGAACACTTTCAAAGATAAATCATGTCTGATTGTTACTTCACGGTTCTTTCTGCGAGTGAGATGCGACGCTCAAGAACGAAAGTAATTTTTGAGAAATTCTGTTAAAATCTTTATAAATCGAACTCATTATCTTACTAATGGTTCCATTTAGTGAGTCAAAAACCTTTTGTGAGATCAACAGAAAGATGTAAGATATGGGGAGGAAGGTGTAAGATATGGAGAAGGATTAGTTTGTAAAAAAGAAAATATACAAGGAATGAGATCATCAAAAGTCCTTTGTTTTAAAAATTTGGTGAAAAAATCTAAAAATTTGTATTAAATTTAACATCTAAACAACAAACAAATCATAAAAATAATGGTAAAAGGGATGTATAAACTAGTTATGGTGAACGTGGTGATTTGTAAATCATTCCGCGATTTTTGAATAACGGAGATTTTAAACGGTGACTGTGATCACTGTCCTTTTAATTACTGTAACAGGTAGTCACAGTAATTGTAAACAAAACAACACGATCACTCTATATTAAATATATAAAAACATATTGATCATGTTGAATATATTATAACTAACGCGTAGGTGGTTTGAATATGATGATAATAAATTTACGATATTAACATTATTTTTTAAATCACTATAAAATTTTCTTGACAATGCTTTCTCTTTAAATAAAACTAAAAATTAATTTTTTTGTAAGCCTTTAATAATTTTTTACGAATAAAAAAAATATATTAAATACATCTAATGCCATTATTTTAAATTTATTATTTTAGAGTAATATTAATAGATAATAACATAAATTACCTATGGAAATTCGTTTCGAAATACAGCCTACTGACTATTCAACTCAGAACATTGTATTTTGAGTCAGTTAAAACAAGTACTACTTACTTCACCGTACCTAAAATTTATCGCTATTAAATCACCAGATGTTAGTCACCGTTCACCGTGATTATCATTAGTGGTACCTCGACGTACGAGTTTAATTCGTTCCGTATTCTTGCTCGTATCGCAAAACAATTTTCCCCATGGAAATTGAAATACTATTAATCCGTTCCAGTTCTCAAAATACCACCTCAATTGTTTTCGTTCAGTGTTTTCGAGTAAGATAAATGTATTTACAAGAAGAAACATTCATTTATAAAAAAATACATATTCTTTAAAAACATAATAAAAGAAAAAGTAAAGTGCATATGGAAGCGCTTAATTTTCGTCACTGGTCTTCGGTTTTTTCGTCACCCTTTTGCTCATTTTCTTCTTCAGATCGTTTACAAAACTGTCCAAGGAGGTTTGTTTCCTCCTCCCTTTTAGAATATTGCGGAAATGAGTTAGGCAAAGTTCGTTGAACAGCTCCAATGCACGACCAGTTGCAACTTTTTCGGGGTGATTTTTATCCACGAACTCTACAACTTTTTTCCTCATTTCCAAAAGATCTTTAGAGATAACGTCCTCCACTCCTCTTGAAAACCAATAAAACTAGCGTATGCTGCTGCGAATGTAGATCGAGTAACACCTCGGCTGTCAGCTTCTGAGACTGTTCCTCGACGAGTTAGTTCACATCTCTCTCATTCACCTTCAAACCCATGGACTTTCCAGATAAACAATCTCCTCTTCCACTGACACTTCGGTTTCCAATCCTTCGAAGGCCCTTACAGCTACCTAGACCACAACTCCTTACATGCAGAGGTCCTCGTTGTAACACCCAGCCTGATCAATAATTCTTAGACATATCACGATGTTAAAGTGGTCCTTCCAGAACTCTCGAAGGGTAAGGTTTGTGTTTTTCGTCACCTCAAAGCAGCACCAAAAAATTTACTTTGTGTACAACTTCTTAAAATTAGAAATCGCCTGAGTTACAGGATAGGATGGTGTTGGTGGTAGATAGAGAACTTTTATAAACTTAAACTCTTCAAGTAAATCATCTTCGAGATTTGGTGGGTGAGCAAAGGCATTGTCGAGGATGAAAAGGGCTTGCATGGGTAGGTTGTTTTGCTGTAGATATTTTCTAACAGAAGGCCAAACACCCGGTTTTCTCCACAAAGAATTTCTTGGTGGCCCACGCCTTCGGATTTGCCCTTCATATAACTTGCAGTTTTTCTTTAAAATCGTATTTCCCGAAAGGTATACTATCAGCGGCTTAATTTTGCAGTGGCCACTCGCATTGGCGCAGTGCTAGAATTAATCTATTCTTGGATTTGTGACATGGTATCGTCTTCTCTGTCGTTATGTAAGTCCTATTCGTCTTCCTTTTCCAGAAAAGCTCAGTCTCATCACAGTTGAAGACTTGCTGAGGGATGTATCTTTTGGCTCCTATCGGTTCGGAAAACGTTTTGATGTAAACCTCAGCTGCCTTCACATCTGAACTTATATTAGGGTACTCATATGTCGAGGTACCACTATATTGATTATATAAACACGTTTTGCGGGACGGTGGCCGTGAAATTGATATCTGAAATATCTGGTCACGGTTATCGAAATGTGCAAGGAACGGTAGTTACTCTAAATCACCGGTAGTAAAATCACATTCCATCACTAGTATAAACTAAGCAAAAAAAAATTAAATGCTAACCCATAATCCGTCTCACGTTTTATATTCAGTATGGGTAAATGGCAAAATGGAACAGTGTTGTCAATAGCTGCTTGATGTAACTATTGTAACCACTTCTGTCTGTGTTTATGTCCTGTATGGATACAATTATAGGGTTATAGTAATTGTTGATTCAAATAAAAGCACCCCATTAAAATTTTACATTTTAGATTTATTCAGGCTCTTACACTCATTCAGCGAAGCGAAAACTTTCTTCATCGCTGGAATATGTAAAGGTGTATTGAACATTAAATGTATCAAGCTGGAATAAATTTAATTATTTGTAGTACAATAAACTGTTATGTATTTAAAGTTAATTTAAGATTTATTCTGATACATTGCGAAATGTAATAAATAATGATATTAAGAAAGTGAAACAATGAAGTGACAGTATAGTTTGATTAATTAACTGATACCACAGAACACAAACATTGACAAAATTGATAGGCTTAACAATGGAACTGACAACAACAGAACGGTAAATAAAGATAGAATCATTGAAAATTCAAAGAATAGTAAAAGAGGCATATAGTCCGTAAGAACTTGTACTGAATATAAAATGTGAGACGGACTATTGTCACAAAACCAGTAGATAAATTTTGTAAAAAAGTCTTGGGTCTTCTAAACCTCTCAAAGTGTTTTTAAGAAATTTCATGTGAATAAAATCCTAATCAAGTCAAATCATCCTAATATTTCTGGAAGTAATATGACTAGAACTACAACTACGTTAATTACCAAATAATTCCCTTTACTATTCATATACAATAAGTTTATAGTTGTGTTTTCAGGGATTTATTACATAGGTTTGACTTAAATGTATAATATATAAAAATATAACCATTTTGGCTAACCAATTGTTTAAATTCAACACTGCCATATTTTGTTCCAATTGAAATTTATCGATTTTTTCAATTCTAAGTGACAAGAAAAAACGATCAATTCTCTCTTACTTTGTGAACAATATTTTTAATTTAAAATGCTATCTCATTTTCATAAAACATCAATTGATTTGTGTATTCATTA